GCTACGAAATACAGATAACATCTCGATTGCTTCAGTTGATTTAAGACTTCCCAGAAATCAAAAACCAAAGAAAGGATATCAGAGATGCAGCAGAACGTGATGAAAAAATATAGGACATATCTTTGCACCAAATCTTCCGATGTTAAACATTCTTTTATTTTAGAAACTTTTATACTTTTTGAGTTATTCGGAAATCTAATATCATCTGTTTGGGGCATCAGAACCCCCCCCCCCCCAATCCTGAAGTAGTGTAAATTAAACCTGGATAATATTATAAATTGATCAGAAGGGGGTGATCATGTGGAATGTAAAATGACCGAAATAAAGTCAACATCGAATATATTCTTCCTGAATAAAATAGATTCCAAATAAAAAGTTATTGATTGGGGTATCAAAATATACATTGCGATTTATGTATTAGTGTCTATTTGTCAATAATGGGCTGTCAAAGTAAATGTAGATTCCGGTTGGTGGAACGATGATGTTGAATTCTTTTGAGAACCTGGCTTCTGCAAATACATATGGGTCGAGTAGTGTGTGAACCTGCTGACATCTCTGAATGTTGTGTAATGTGCTAGCATCTCTCACATCCATGCTGCCTCTTCCTGGCCACTACTTTGGATTATTCTAGCTAGACACTATGCTTGGTCACGGAGCCCATTTTGTAGACTCACTCAGACTGGCACAGGTGTAATGTACTTTGACCCCTCTGGTCCTAAGTCTTCCCAGAATGGGTGGGACTCTCACCAATTGTTTCTCTTCACCAATAGAGAGCGCTGATCTGATGACCAATAGCTACTGTTGGGCGCTATTTGACGCGCTCATGATTATTGTCTATAGTGAGTGGCCTTAACACATCCCTCGTAATTTTTGTTCTTAATTCTTTTCGGTGAAGTATGTAATATACATAAATTTAAAAGGCTTTGAGGAGAAGTCTTTGGCCAAGTATTATTGAAATAGGTACATCTCTGGAAGAGCTACCGTATATATACCAGTTTGCCTCAATTAAGAGCATTGAGTATTTGGGATGTATAAAACACAATCATGCCATATATACAATAAAGGAAAAATAAAAGAAAATTTGGAATAACAGAATAAATCATTAAGTAGTAAACATTAAGTAAAAAATAAAATAATTAAAAACGCATTCATACTTAAGACTCCGTAATACCCTGGAAAGTAATATAAAATTATAAATCAAAGAAAAACTACGGTAAATGAAGAACGAGAAGTTAATGGAGAAAATCAAATCGCTAACGCGATGACCGGATTTTATTACACAACTGTAGCAATTGATCAATTGAGCAACTAAACAAGAAGGCTGGCCATTCCTGAAAAGCCATGCTTCACCTCAAGTTTTTCCTAATAAACCTCAATTTAATTAATATGGGCTTAAAGATTTTAAATGTGGAAGTTTTTTGAAATGTGGGATACCTATTGGCTGAAGATAAAAAAAAATATCGCGAATAGATTATGATTTTTAAGCAACTATTAATTACTTAAATGAAATATTTCTTTAATTATCGTTTTCTATTCAACAAAATGCATGACTTACTTCAAAATAAACAAAACTAGGATTTTCTTATTTTTTGCTTAAATTTGGTCCATGGTTTATGTGATGTTTTTTAGGTCTGCTATCAGGCCTATAAAAATGCCCCTCTACTTACGGGATACCTTCTATAATTATGTATTTGAATAGAAATAAAAGTTACTTTATTTATTTCCCAAATCAAAAAATATATAAATGAAGTTTTGACATCACTGTGATAAGAAAATCAGAAACCATGTGAACCCTCCCAAAACCTTCTATTTTAACATGTGTTAATATTCACATATAAAATGTAAACAACAAAGTAATCCAACAAAAATTATTTAAAACACTTTTCGAACATATCGCACAATGCACAAAAAGCGAACCAGCTTTATCGGTCACTATCTTGAAAGGAAAGGACGGATGCTAATGCAGAGTTTCAAGGATCATTCTCCGGTGCCTTTGGACATTGATACCAAATCTAAAGAGAACCCGCCCACTAGTCTCGAAGAAAAGCCGCGGACGGCGTATGGCATACTACATACGGTGGATGGACGGATTTTTTTTTAAATTTGATAATCGGATTCTACCTATCTTTAAACGTAAAACCTTAAATTTTGGGAGGGTCTTAGTTTCTCTTTTTCTTGGTCGATTACAAAGGTTGATTATTCAAAAGAATAAACCGAAAAGAAAATTCACTGAAAATTTGTATTCATGAATAGTAATCATACCTACTGCATTTTTTTTTTTATTGTACATGAGGTATAGAAACGGATAATATTCATCTCATTCCTTTTAAACGGACCCGCTGGCAAGCGACTGCTGTTACAACTGCTTGTATATTCTGGCTACTTTAATATTTATTAGACCAGAGGCTCTTAACATTTTGAATTCTGACTCTAATCAGAGAACTAAGTTCATGCCGAAATCAATGAGGGTCAAAATTAAAATAATAAAATACATAAAAAACGAAGCATGGAAATATTGAAATAATTTAGTAATAATTTTGAAAATGGTACGGATATTTTATTTTGATTAATGCTCATATAAAAGTTATTGATCTTTTAAATCAGCTTTAAGAGATATTTTAAATGATAAGAGATATTTCCAAGAGTTGATATATGCTTATTGAAGACTTCAGTGCTAATACATAGAACGTGTTTGAAAAAGGCCAAAAATTAATGACGGAGACGACCAAAAATTAATAGATAAATACTAAAAAAAGTAAATGTATTAAAAAAACAAAATATTTTTAATATAATAAATAAATAGTATATTCTAGTTCTCTCACATTAGATAACTATCCCTCTACTTAATGCACTCGACATATATGCGACTTCGCTACACATTTTCACTCGTATAAAAAAAGAATTTAATGTTATCAAAATAATCTATTTAACACAAAAAACTTAAAGTAAGAATTAAATTAATGTTTCTGTTTATTCACAGTCCCTCATCTATTACAGAAATTAGATTGCAAAAGGTGGCTTGACATATATTTTAAAAGGGCTTGTGATTTTATCGACCGTCAGAAATATAGAACTGTTTTCTCTTATTTCATTTTTACTTTCATATAATCAGGATATATATAAAATACATCAATTTTGTAAAATAAGTATGTGCGTTAATTGTAGTACTATAAATAAGTGCTTAATATCGCATGTTGCGTGTGTTATACATCGCATGTAATTAAGCGTGTTGCAACAGCTGATATGCTATTTAAATTTATCACACAGTTCTATTCATTTGCAAATTTCCGTAACCTAAATAATTAAATAATAATTAATTTTAGCGCTAGGTTAATAAATAGCTCGCTAAAACGTTTGAAGACCGCATGCGGCCTCCATTAGCATTACTTAATCTTACTGCTGCTTCTAACGATAACAAGATTCCTCACCTACAGTATATGCGGTATAGATCGTGTACATATCAATATTAATGAAATAGTATTGGGTTGGCAAATAAGTTCTTTCAGTTTTTCTGTTTATTTTATGTCACTATGATACACTTCTTATCTAATGAATTAATCCTTGAGGTGGATTGTTTAACCTGTTTGTAATATGTCAACAACTAAATCTGTTAACTCTTGTTGAAACTAGCTTAGCGTTGTGTTTGAAATTGAAGAAAATATCATTCATTATCGGCATAATTTATTGTATTATTTTAAAAAAGGTAAGTGGGATGCAGAAGCACATAGAAAAAATTGCAGTTTTTAAGGGGATGATGCCTAAACCGAACGCACCTGTCAAAATCTCTTTGCCAACAGTCGATTCGTCCACAATAAATTGAAACGAGCAATGTTAAGGCCATTTTTCATCAAAATCCCACCCGATCAGTGCGAGAGATTGCCAAGGCCCCCAAATGTGTCACACACAAGCTCAAAAATCATTCGGCTATATTTCAATGTTTGGGTCCCTCACATGATTTTTTTTTTTTTTTTCGAAAATCACAAAAAATGTTATAACTTCGATGCAACTTTAGCTATCTACAAGAAATTTAGAAGGAATTCAGGGCCACATAAACTACACAAAATCAACAGGATCTGCGTAAACAAATTAAAAATGGAAATAAAAATAAAAACCTATAAGGAGATTTTGTTTATTTATTTCTTATGTAGGCATTAAATAAAAAAAACATTCATAGGACTTTAAAGAGCAATAATTGAGCTTTCTAACGGATATTGTAACATCTAATTTGGAGAATATCCTGAAGAGTTATGAATGATCGGAAGGGTGTTGTGTTCTACCAAGACAACGCTAGGTCCCACACTTTATTGGTCACTCGCAATAAATTATTGAGCCTTGGAAGGGACCTTTTGTCTCATCATTCCTATTCATCAGACCTAGCTCCAACTGACTACCACTTATTCCAGTCTCTGCAGAACTCCAAGAATGGAAAGAAATTCTAAAAGGAAGAGGACATCAAAAACCACTTGGATTAGTTTTTTAACAATAAACTCCAGACATCCTATGAATATGGCATTATGCAGTTAGTGGAAAGATGGGTCATAATTCTGATTTTTTAGCCAAATTTCCTACAATTTCTTTTGAAGTTTCTTCTCAAAATGTCTATGTAAACATGTTTATTCACTATACTATGTGAATATTTTCATTATAAAGTGAAGATTACACCATATGCCTCTATACATCTGCACACCAAGAAACATAACATAAGATAACAGAAAACAGAACATAACACTTTACTAGGTTGTTTATTGATTAAAATAAATTATGTATAATTTAATTTAAATTAAACTATTTATTTATCCAATAATGTCTATCGATATCCAGGTGTATCATTTTGACTCTGACCACTATACATACACAAGTATACTATAGTATACTGTACAAACAGTATACAAGTATACTGAATTATTTAAATAATAATAATAATTTCATTCCTTTGTCATTTTTTTTCTTTTTTCTGTAGCGCCTGGCGAACTCGTAAAATATATTATTTTTTATTTCAGGACAAATGTTCTGGTGCCTCCTCGATATAGTCCCCATCAAAAATGAGAAGCGAGAAGTCGTCCTCTTTCTAGCTTCACATAAAGACATTACACAAAACAAATGCCAGGAACTCCAATCGGCTGAGGAAGACTTGTCACCAACTGGTAAGCTATCTACTTAGTTATTCTATGCTAATATAATCTAAATTAATATTTAGTAAGTTTTAGGTTCAAATTAGCTGGCTTCATGGAAGTTAAAATATATCATGATGAAGTACATAAACAAGATTTAAAATATTTTTTTACCATATTAGTTTATAAAATTTAGTGTATGCGTAGTGGTAGAAATTCTACCTGTATCAATATTAAATATTATGGGAAAATATAAATGAATTTTCATGTTATCAACATTTTTTTTAAACTGTTATATATTCGTATATTCTTATTGTGTATATTTATATTGACTTACAAAAGAAAACATCACAGTGCCATTTGTGTACTTTAAAGTTATAGGTTAATAAAAATGTTGTTTGTTTTGATGTCTAGGCGTAAAACATTCAGGTCATCAGCGCCCTATCAACTAAATAACACTACTTTTGTACAAATTTAGGTGGTTGGTACCAAAATAAATCTAAAAAAAAGGATAAAAATAAAATAATTAATTGAATCAAATAAATAAATAATGATAATAATTAACACTTATAGATAATAAGATAGATAAATAAGATAGAAGAATAGATAAATAAGTAAACTAAACAAAAAATAGCAATAAAATCAATAAATGAATTGAAATAAGTAAATCAATGAACCTTTAAATGTGAAACTTTCGTTAATTTTTACAAAAAAAATATTTGAAACCAAGTTGAGGAACATTTGAGTAACATTTATGTATTTTTCGATTGTTATGAAAATTTGTTTCTGAGCATTTTTACGGAGTTACAAGAATTAAAATTTTGTTGTTGTCTACGCTTAATATATAATACATGTCTGTATTTTTTATTTGCACCATTTCTACAATTTCGTATACGGGTGTTCTCAGATTATGGACAATTTTCATGATAAAATTTTAATAATTTTGATGGTATTTAAATACACCTTCTCTTGCAGCTCAGTTTTATCTCAGCAAATGGCCAAGATCAAAAGCGTTTTTTGCTCAGTAATTAAAGTAAGTTAAACTAATGATTCAGTTGTGCGAATGAAACGAATTTTCGACTTGGTAATGACATTTTCACTTTTATTATTCGGCCAAAAGCGATGTGTAACTGGTATTATAATTTTTGTTCTTTCCAATTGACTTGCTACTAACCGTAGTCAAACGTGAATTGTAATACATGAAATCATTTCAGCATGTAGCGGGATAATATAAGCGGTGATAATGACAGTAAAGGCACGTGCCCAACGTATAAGAAACGCCTGTGTAGAGGGAGGCTCCCCAACTGGTCGGTTTTCCTCTAACACCATGGCTACTACTACACTCTGAAGAAATTTCCGCTCTGTTCCCTCTTTTCAACGCTTAAATATCTGATGTTATGTTTTTTGCTTGGTATAGACATCAAAATGATGGGACAATGTTTAAAAATACATTAACATACTTAACTGTTAACAAAAGTTGAAAAAATATATAATTCAAAGTGCCTTAATTATTCCTTAGGAGAGGAAATAAATTTCACTGTCATTTTACATATGTTTCGAAAGGAAAAAAATAATTGTTTATTATAAAACAATACGTGGTAATGACATTTTAGTAGTTTAAGTAATTATATAATCATATCCTTTAATTTTTAATATTTCATTTTCGATGAAAACCTATGACTTTCTGTCTTACACTATCCTTTAACAATTTCCCACTTATCCCTGTTAAACAAATCCGATACCTAGGACTCCATCTGGACAAACGACTCACTTGGAATCTTCATACAAGAATGAAACGACAAGAAACTGCTCGACGTTTTTGACTACTCCAGCACTTACTAGACAAACACTCTAAACTTTCTATATATTACAAAAGATTCATATACATGACTATGATAAGGCCAATCTGGACTTACGGAATTAAGCTCTGGGCTCCACTAAACCATCGAATTTCTCTCTTATCCAATCCTTAAAATCCAAAATCCTTCGTAAAATCCTCAATGCTCCTTACTTGGTACCAAATAAAATTTACCATTACGTACCATATGTTTCCGATTTAGCCCAATCCAGATACCTATCCTTGCATAACAAACTTCAAAACCATCCGAACCCTCTCGTTTCAAACCTTGCTTCCTTTTCGATACCTGATAAACCTCCAAGGCGTCTGAAAAAAAGATGGCCTCGTGATCAACTTATGTAAATATATCAATAGGTAGTTTATCATCAAGCGTTTTCATGTGATAATACCGTGTGCACATTTACTGGATGTATTTTTAAATTTATACAGTTGTAAATCTCATGAATAAATTTTAAAAAAAATTATTATGAAGAAATACTTCTTCATTGTTTAGTAGTGGGGAAAAAATCAAGTTAGACTTAACTAATCATGTAAACGTTGTAATGGACTAAAACTTGCCCCCAAAATGAGAATCATCCATACATTTCTGAATTTGTATAACGAATCCTTTCTAGTTCCTTCGGCATGAAGTCGGTGGGTTGTGATAAGCCTTTGGCTGCTCAAAACGTTTGCTCATTTGGTCAGAGGAATTAAAACAAAAGAAACAGCCTTGTATTGACAGGAGGGAGGTAGTGTTTTTATTACTTTGTATCAAAGTAGTTATAAGAATAATATTAATATATGTATTAGTAGATAGTGTTATATTGATGATTATTCCTTAATACATACATATAGCATTTCCAAGTCAATTTCAACCTTTTCCTAGTCAAGTTCAACCTTTTCCAAATCAAATTAAACTTTTTCCAAGTCAAATTCAACCTTTTCCATTTCAAATTAAACCTTTTCCATTTCAAATTCAACCTTTTTTTATTTATTTAATTATCTTTAATTTTTCGATGTGTGGGTCTGTTATCGTATGAGTAGTTTTTGAAAATAACCTCCTTTTTAAGATTACGTGACTGAGTTTCGAATTATTTAAGTTTTTTTGAATTATTCGATATAAGGGTGTATTTTTATGTTTCCCGATCAATAAATTTTGAAAATGACATCCATTTTATGTTTACGCCACTGTGTTTTGATTTATTTAAGTTTTTAGAATTTATCCAATATAAGGGTCTACTTTTATGTTTCTGAATTTGTGTTCGGATTTTTTTCGTATGAGGGTGTATTCTTATGTTTCCGGAGCCGTAGATTTTGAAAACGACCTCCATTTTAAGATTAGGCCACCGCGTTTCGACTTATTTGAGTTTTTCGGATTTTTTTCGTATGAGGGTGTATTCTTATGTTTCCGGAGCTGTAGATTTTGAAAATGACCTCCATTTTAAGATTACGCCTCTGCGTTTCGACTTATTTAAGTTTTTTTATTTATTCGATGTAAGGGTGTATTTTTATGTTTTCGGAGATGTAGATATTGAAAATGACCTCCATTTTAAGATTACGCCACTGAGTTTCGGCTTATTCAAGTTTTTCGAATTTATCCAATTTAAAGGTATACTTTTATGATGCCGGAGCCTTAGTTTTTAAAACGACTTACATTTTATGATTACGCCGCTGCGTTTTGACTTATTTAAGTTTTTCGAATATATCCAATATTAAGGTCTACTTTTATGTCTTTTGAGCCGTAGATTTGGAAAATAACCTCCATTTCATGATTACGCCATTGCATTTTGACTTATTTAAGTTTTTCGAATTTATCCAATTTAAAGGTCTACTTTTATGTTTTCGGAACCGTAGATTCTGAAAATGACCTCTATTTTATGATTACGCCATTGCATTTCAACTTATTTAAGTTTTTAGAATTTAAAAAGTATAAAGGTCTAATTTTATGTTTCTGAAGCAGGAGATTTCCCCCATTTTGTAAATGACCCAATTTCAAGTTTATTCCACTGTGTTTTGGATTATAAAAGTTTTTTTTTTTTACTTTTTCGGTATAAGGATCTACTTATATGTTATCCGAGACGTGTTGAATTTTTTCTAATCTATAATATTTAAATTTATCTAATATTTAAGCTCCATTTTATTATTAAGCCGCTGCATCTCGAATAATTAGGCTTCATTTTGGATTTTTTCAATACAAAGTTTCATCAATATGTTTTCAAGTATGAATAAATAAATAAATATTATGAAGCTAAAGTTAAATTAACCACATAATACAAACTAAAAAGCTGAAAAGCAGCTGGTAATAAATCTAACCTTCCTTATTCAGATTTTTCAGCTAATTGTTCGAAATCTTATAATTTTGTGACAGGAGACCACAACATTAAAAATAATAATAATAATAATAATAATAATAAGGCTTAGCGAACCCGAAGGTTCGATGCCGACACCATCAATCGCTTGTTACACACCTCCCTCCACCGTTCGCCGTCCAAACCCAGTCCCTTCAGATCGGCTTTAATGCAATCTTCCCACCTTCGCTTCGGTCTACCCCTCGGACGCTTACCATTCGGCACCGCACATATTAACCTTTTAGGAATTCTCTCGTTACTAAGCCCAACAACTTTACAAGCCCATTTGATTCGCCGCGATGAAATTACCTCAATTATATTACCCGGATACAGCTCACGCAATTCGGCGTTGTGTAACCGTCTGAACTCTCCGGTTAACTCATCCTTCTTCGGTCCGAATATTCTACGCAATACTTTATTTTCAAAAACCTTAAGACGCTGCTCATCCCTTAATGTAAGCGGCCAAGTTTCGCATCCATAAAGAACTGTAGGCAAGATAATTGTTTTATAGATTCTAATTTTTAAGTTTCGGGACAAGAGGCGCGAACTAAGTAGTTTTGTCACAGAAAAATAACAAGCATTCCCCGCCTTCAGTCTAACCTTAATCTCTTCTTCAATTTCGTTTTTTCTAGTTATCGTAGAACCTAGATACCTAAATTTATCTACCTGTTCAAACATATTACCATCTATATCGATATCACCAGTAGTATCGCCATTTTTGCAGCTAACCATATATTTTGTTTTATCCACGTTTATTTCGAGTCCTAGTTCTTTACCGGCTTTCATTAACGTTGCCGTATTTAGTTTTATAGTTTCAACGTCTTCGCTTAACAGTACCAGATCATCAGCATAGCCCAGCACGGAT